TATGTGCCTGTTTGGTAAAGGGTAAGGCTGGTAAGACGAGGGAATGCTGGATGACTAGAGAAATTGAGGTTTTTGTCAACAAAAAGGAGGCATATGTCAGGTGTAGGCAGCAGGGATCGAGTGAATCCTTAATATAGGCCTACTGCCCTTGTACTCTTACGAGGGAAATTGGGAGGGCAAAAAAGGGACATGAGATAGCTCTGGCAAATAAGTTAAGGAGAATCCAAAGGTATACATTAAGGGTAAAAGAGAAATTAGGAAGAGAATGGAGCTCAGTAATGATCAGCAAAGCCGCTTATGTATGGAACTGCAGGAGATGGGCGAGATACTAAATGAGTATTTTGTATCAGTGTTTATTGTGGAGAAGGATCTGGAAGCTAGAGAACATGGGAAAATAAATGGTGATATCTTGAAAAATGTCCCTACGAAAGAGGAAGAGGTGCTGGACATCTTAAAATGCATAAAGGTGGATAAATCGTCAGGACCTGAGATATTTGTATCATCGATAGCCAGACATGAGGTTCTTGAAGACTGGGGGTTTGCTAACATGACATCATTTAAGAAAGGTGGTAAGGAAAAGCCAGGGAACTATAGACCAGTGAGCCTGCCCTCAGCGGCAGGTGAGCTGTTGGAGGGGATGCTGAGGGACATGATTTACATGCATTTGGAAAGGCAAGGACTGATTAGGGATAGTCTACATGGCTATGTGCATGGGAAATTGTGCCTCACTAACTTGATTGAGATTTTTGAAGAAGTGACGAACAGAATTGATGAAGGCAGAGTGTTGGACGTTGTCTGTATGGACGTCAGTAAGGCATTCGACAAGGTTCCAGATGGTAGACTGGTTAACAAGGTTAGATCACATGGAATAAATCACATGCCAGGGAGGCAATGGCCTAGTGGTATTATCACTGGACTGTTAATTCAGAGACCCAGCTAACATCCTGGGGACCTGGGTTCAAATCCTGCTGTGGCAGATGGTGGAATTTGAATTCAATAAAATACCTGGAATTAAGAATCTAATGATGACCATGAGCCCATTGTTGATTTGTATCTGGTTCACTAATGTCCTTTAGGGAAGGAAACTGCTGTTCTAACCTGGTCTGGCCTAGATATGACTCCACATTGTGGATGACTGTGAACTGCCCTCTGGGTAATTAGGGTTGGGCAATAAATGCTGCCTAGCCAGTGATACCCTCATCCCGTTAATAAAGGAAAAAAAAATACAGGGAGAACTAGCCATTTAGATACATAACGGCCTTGAAGGTAGGAGACCGAGCATGATGCTGGAGGGTTGCTCTGGTTTTTGTCTTTTATTTTTAATGATTTGGATATGAATATAGGAATAAGTAAATTTGGTTAGTAAGTTTGCAGATGACGCCAAAATTGTTGGTGTCGTGGACAGCTTGGGTGAATGAACAAAGTCTTTTTCCCAGGGTAGGGGAGTCCAAAATTAGAGGGCATAGGTTTAAGATGAGGGGGAAAGATATAAAAAGGACCTAAGGGACATCCTTTTCACACAGCACATGGTGCATGCGTGGAATGAGCTGCCAGAGGAAGTAGTGGAGGCTGGTACAATTACAACATTTAAAAGGCATCTAGATGGATGTATGAATATGAAGGGTCTAGAGGGATATGGGCCAAATGCTGTCAATGGGACTAAATCAGGTTAGGATATCTGGTTGGCATGGATGAGTTCGACCAAAGGGTCAGTTTCCAAGTTATACATCTCTATGACCGTTAAGATTTTTAGGTGACTTGCTAGGATAGATTTGGAAAGGTTGTTTTCCCCTTCTGCGAGAATCAGGCCAGTAGTTATTGCCTTAGCATAAGAGGTTGTTTATTTAAAACCGAGATGAGGAGGAATTTGTTCTCTCGTTGTAGTGAATCGGTGAATTCTTTATTGCAGAGGGCTGTTGAGATTGAGTTGTTATCTATGTTCAAGGATGTGATAGATGGAGTTTCAATCAGTAAAAGAATCAAAGGCTGTGGAGTAAATGCAGGAAAGTGGAGTTGAGGATTATCAGATTAGCCATGCTTTTATTGAATGGCAGGGCAGACCCGAAGGGCTGAATGACCCACTTCTGCTCCGATTTGTGGTGAAGCTGTTGAGGACATTTTATGTTACACGTATGCATGTATATACAAGTTCTGTTGTTATGCTACATACTAAGTAGCACCCTATTTGCCAAAAAGCAGTACGCACAGAATAAAATTGCACACAATGATCTTTAGCCAGAGCTCTGGAATGCTACTTCAGTAACATTAGCAACACAGCACCATCCCCTTTAAACAAAATCCTCAATAAGGAAGGAAGACTAGTACAGAAGATGGAGTTGTCAGAATAATTGCTAGATGAAATAGAGTACATGCAAGAAGAAGAGTGATTTAAAGTATAGCAAAGATAGATATAATAGTTACTGTCTTGTAGTGGATGTTTAGGAACAGGAAAGGTGGAAATGTGGAACAAAGTTGATGAAAGAAAGTTTCCACTTTGGGGTAAGAGATGACAACTGCACTGATAAGATCATCAATATGAGGGAAGGGTCCTAACTTCAAGTGGAACATATATTTCATGCATTGTTGGTTTTGGTTTCAGCAGAGCATACCCATTTTCTCTTTTTCACAACTATCATTTACACCTATTTTACATCTCCATCTCTCCTTTAACTACCATTAGCACTCCCTTTGCCTTTTGCTCTCGGCACCCTCCCCATCTGTTCCTCGCACTCCATTTTCCAGCCCCTTTTCAGTCCCGAAGAAGAGTCATTATCGGGCTGTTTTTGTCTGTCCACAGAAACTGACAGATCTGAACTTCTCCAGTGTTTCTTTTATTTCGGAAGCAAGTCAGCTACGTTCCTTAAATTAACAAATAAAACTAATTCACTTCCAGAAAAAATCCAGAAAGTGCTGGGGAAACAGCAGGTAAAGCAGGATGTGTGAAGAGAAAAACAGCGTGCCATTTCAAGTTTCTATAACTTTTCAAGGAAAAAATGTTGTGCAGAATTTCCGGACCATGAACGATGTGGGCAGTGGCCTAATGGTATTATCGCTGGACTGTTAATGTAGGGACCTAGATAAGGTTCCGGGGACCTAGATTCTAATCTCACCACGGCAGATGGTGGAATTTGAATTCAGTAAAATATCTGGAATTAAGAATCTAATGATGACCATGAATCCGTTGTTGGAAAAACCCATCTGGTTCACCAATGCCCTTTAGGGAAGGAAACTGCCATCCTTACCTGGTCTGGCCTACATGTGACTGCAGGCCCACAGCAGTGTGGTTGACTCTAAACTACCCTCTGGGCAATTAAGGATGGGCAGTAAATGCTGCCTAGTCAGTGACGCTCTCATCCTGTGAATGAATAAAAAAAAATAAGTTGCACGTTAAGGCTTAGATATTCCATTTAGAACAAAGAACAAAGAAAATTACAGCACAGGAGCAGGCCCTTCGGCCCTCCAAGCCTGCGCCAGTCCAGATCCTCTAACTAAGCCTGTCGCGTATTTTCCAAGGATCTGTATCCCTCTGCTCCCTGCCCATTCATGTATCTGTCTAGATACATCTTAAATGACGCTATCGTGCCCGCCTCTACCACCTCCTAGGGTATTTGTCATTGAATTTGGAGAAATCCTCACTAAGAAATGGGAATTTTAACTTTTTCATTCTGGAATTGATTGTAAATTGATTGATTGTAGAATTCCCAGCATGGAGTTGCATTGATTCTCATCAAACAGGCTATCACATTAAAAAGAATTATCACCACCAACTAAGAAATGGGAAATAAAAACAAAAGAACGGCTGATGCTGTAAATCAGGAACAAAAACAAAATTGCTGGAAAAGCTCAGCAGGTCTGGCAGCATCTCTGAAGGAAAAAACAGAGTTAACGTTTCGAGTCCGGTGCCCCTTCCTTAGAACTGACTGTAGCTGGGAAAACGTCGGTTTATATGCAGAAAATAGGGAGGTGGGTGGGGTAGGGAGTAAACAATAGGATAGAACCCAAAGAGAGAAAGACAGTTGGACAGACAAAGGAGTTGCTAACGATCAGGCTGGGAGGGTGAATAGTTGTTAATGGGGACTGTTAGTGACTAACAATAGGGGGTGTGTAATGGCAGGCTATGTGGTAACAAGGCCTGGTGTGAGGGGTAGGGGGCTGTCACATGGGAGAGTTTAGGCCCTAAAATTATTGAACTCAATATTAAGTCCGGAGGGCTGTAGGGTCCCCAAGCGGAAAATGAGGTGTTGTTCCTCCAGCTTGCGTTGGGCTTTGCCGGAACACCGCAGCAAGCCAGAGACAGAGACGTTGGCCAGGGAGTAGGGTGGTGCATTAAAGTGGCAGGCAACAGGTAGTTCAGGGTCTTTGTGTGTGTAAGAAATGGGAAATATATAGAGCATAATCAAGGTTTGGCATGTGGTCTGTGCGAAGCTAGAAGTTGAAATGTCATGAAAAATTTCTTAAGATATATGTCAAAGTTATTAGTTTAAAAAATGCGCTAACTGATCATTGTAAAGACATTTAACTAATTGACAAAGGTAGGTAATTTGGAATGGAATTTTCTTTCTGACTGTGGCGGTATGTGTTGCACTTGGTCTTCAAATATGGGTCCTTTTTATGCAAGACCACCAAATTGTCTGACTCTTCATTTAATCTTTTATATGCATGATCTGGAGTTCTTTTGTCTCTCATTACTTACTTTGTAGGTTCATCGTCGTGATGATGCATCAATAAATTATTTCCGTACTTGCAGAGTTATAATTGTGACTTGCTGCCCAAAGACAATTGTCACTCCAGTGGGGAATAACTAACTGAGTGTACAGCCTTTTAAATTAGCCGTAAACCTTACTTTTATTTGGTTCTACCCAATGTTTATGTGACTTGGAAGTGACTGTAAATATTATGTTCTTGTCTCTCTTCCTCCCCACCCACTCCCACCACCTTCCCCCCCACTCCCTGGCAATAGAATTCAAGGCACCAAATCCTACTTGTTTTTCTTGTTGTAGGTGCAATCCTTGGTAGATCTGAGAAGCAAGTTTGTATTTTCTATAATGCAGACTGGGAGAAAGATCGAACAAATCTCAGTGGGATTGAGCACTGTGATGGAGAAAAAGATAAACGGCGACACTGTTTTGCTACGTGGAAGAACAATTCTGGCTCCATAGAAATTGTAAAACGAGGCTGTTGGCTGGATGATTGGAACTGCTACGACAAGTATGCAATAATAGTTTGCTGTCTTTACCTTTTTAGAAAACTCTTGTATCTATACTTTTGAATTTTATAAGTACTAAATTTTAGCTGCAGTATTTAAGCATTTTCCGTTAAGAGTAAGTTTTATTAATATTCATTATAATCTCTTGGCAATGAACAAATATCAAATCAATCGGTATAATTTTTGTTTGTAGGGGTGAATGTATTGAAACAAAAGAAAGCCCTGAAGTTTTCTTCTGCTGCTGTGAAGGCATCAAGTGCAATGAGAAGTTTTTTTATGTCCCAATAATTCAGGAACTGCCATGTAAGTTTTACCTTTGTAACCTTTATGGTTAAACATTTAAATGATTACCCAATATGAATGAAAGGATACAGGAACAATCTTGAAATGAAAATCCTAAAATAATACATTTTGTTTAAATGCCATTGTGCAATTAGTTGTTCTGTTGTTCTTATTCATCAACAGATACCATAGAAACTGCATACCTGTTTCTGGACTGTTGGAGATTTATAATATTCTAAGCTTTGTCTTTCAGTAACTTGAAACTTGATGCATCTTTCCCATACTGTGCACTGCATTGAAACTAGCTTTCACCTTATAGTAGAGGTGTTGCCTGTGCCCAATTTGTCGTGCTTTTTAATGACTTGATCTTTACTTGCTTCTTATCTATGTGATGCACAGCCAGTTTTAAGAAAAACTTAAGGCTTATATAATGCATTTAACAACCTCCAGACATTGCCAAGGATTAGAGGAAGGGAAATGCTACAACTGGAATTAGGTTCTGCAGAGCTTCCTTGGGGGTGAAAAAAATGTAAAACAATATACCTGTACCCCCTAAACTGAAATACAGTACCACCTGGACTTTAATCAGTGCAGAAATTTTAGCAATTTAATTAAATCACTGTTAAACTGTATTTTAAAATATAATGATCTGCGTACTGTTAGATTGACTAAGCTCCATCTAGTGGCAGAAGTTGATCAGTGCAGCTGGTTGCCCTTGATTACAGGCACTGACTCACATCTGCCATCACTTGGAGCCCGGGTCTTCCATGCTAAGTCAAGAGGGAAGTGAGGATCTAAGAGAGCAGCCTGCAGAAAAGGGAAGACAAGACATGGACCCTTAAGGTAGGAATGAGGCCCAGGGGAGGTGGGCAGGAGTGGAGCAGAAAAGAGAAAGGAATTGAGGCCCAGAGAGGGATAACAAAACTCAGCAGAGGTGTTCAATTTGCAAGCAAGTTAACCTGGGCAAAACAAATTGGGAGATGAGACTGGGACAGGAATCAAAACCAAAGCAGAGTAAAGTAGGATATAAGACTAGGGGGAAGGCCAAGATGGAAAGGTGGTCGGAGGATGCAAACCAAATCTACTGGATGCTGATTTGTAAGTGTGAGGGAGGCTGACAAAGTACTTAATGCTAAAACAAAAGTGGTGAACCAAAACAAAATAATTGGCTTCAAAGAATAAAAAATCAAAAAAAAACTGCAGATGCTGTATATCATCTACCAGCTCTGCTGAGCTTTTTCCAGCAATTTCTACTCTTGTTTTCCTTCAAAGAATAACACCAAAACAATGTTAAGTGGGGCAGCGTTAAATAAGGACTAACTATATATACAAATGCCTGGCTAGTTTTCACTTTTTTTTAAAAAAGAAGTCTGCTCAGAAATTTATGTCCGTGTATCATGAAAAAATAGTTCAGTTTGGAGTAGGGGTGCAGTGTATGTGTAAAAGTTTTTTTTTAACAAGCTGCTCACTTCCTCATGGTTTCTTCCAAGTTTTAGGATGTTGCTTTGCGAGCTATTTTCTGATGTGATTCCATTTTAACATTTGAAAATTATTGTGACTCTGAATGCCAGCAAAAACAAAATGGCAATAAAGCAGTATAGTGTCATTCAATATATAGTTATTAAAGTTTGTATTATATAGACTAGTACATAATGTCAAAGATGAAAAGTGAGCTGATTAGCTCAGTTGACAAAATGGCTATTAAATCATATTAAAAGGTGGAGCAGACTTGAGGGGCTGAATCGCCTACTCCTCCTAGTTCCTGCATAGATTGGATAAACACCTGCAATATGGGGTTCAAACCTCATTTTGGCTGAGGGAGACTTGGAGCCTGCTTTGGCTGAGCCAGAATTTATTGCCTGCCTCTAATTGCCCCTGAGAAAGTGGCAGTGAACAGTTGTCTTGGATTGCTATAGTCAATTTGATGCAACTATGTCCACAATGATGTTAGAGAGGGAGTTCCAGGATTTTGACTTAACAATACTACAGATTGTGTTTAATGATATGTTAACAGCTGAGTTATGCTAATGATAAGTTAGCACTTAATGATATGTTCCCAAGTAAGATCGTGAGTGGCTTGGAACTTTCAACTGGTGGTGTTCCTCTCCCCGCGACTCCCACTTCAGCGCCACACTCCCCACTAACACCACTAACCCCGACACCTTTCCCTGCAACTGCAAGAAGTGCTGCACCTGCCCCTACACCTCCCCCCTCACCTCCATTCAAGGCAAAAATCAAACCTTCGACATCAGACATGGGTTCACCTGCACATCTGTCAACTTGGTCTACTGCATCTGCTGCACCCGATGTGGCCTACTCTACATCGGTGAGACCAAGCGGAGACTCGGAGACTGTTTTGTAGAACATATGAGCTCTGTACGTGACAAACAACAACACCTTCCGGTCGCAAAACATTTTAACTCCCCCTCCCACTCCCTGGATGACGTCCATCTTGAGCGACCTCCAGTGTCACAATGACGCCACCCACAAATTTGAGGAACAGCACCTCGTATTCTGCTTTGGGAGCCTATAGCCTGATGGCCTGAACGTGGATTTTACCAGTTTCAAAATCTCCCCACCCCTGGGCTCATTCCATGACCAACCTTCCCTCTCATCCCCGCCTCCTTGACCTGACACGACCTGTCCATCTTCTCTCCCACCTATCCGCCACTCTCACTTCACTGACCAATCCCCACCACTGTCTATCTGCACTCACCTATCACCATTCCACCTATCTTCCCCAGCCCCACCCCAATTGTCTATTTATTTCTGAGCACCCCACCTCCCCCTTACCCACCCCCCACCGGCCATTTCTGAAAAAGGGTCCCAACCTGAACATCAACTTTCCTGTTCCTCTGATGCTGCCTGGCCTGCTGTGTTCCTCCAGCTCCACACTTTGTTACCTCGTGTTCCTATTATCTGCTGCTCTTGTCCTTTTGGATGGTCATGGTAATGGGTTTGAAATGTACTGTTTAAGGAGCCTTGGTGAATTTCTGCAGTACGTTCATTGACAGGCCTGCCTTTGCGGGGAGAACTCAAGAAGAAGGTTAAAGAATCATTAGACTCTCAGTCCACCCTCCTCTTCGGTAGCATGGATCTAGTGGATCCAGAGTAGACTTCCCAGCACTCCAGGCTTATTTCCACAGTTACCATTATGGCCTTGGATGCAGGGGAGCTCACTACTTTTAAAACAATGTTTGTAATTCTCTTGGGCTGTCACAGCTCAGTATTTGTGAACCAGTGTTCCTGGAAAAAAATAATTAGGAAAGCAAATGAAGTGTTGACATTTATTGGAAATAGAAAAGGGTATTGATGTTGGGACACCTTTCTGCAATGCATAAGAGACAACACCAGAAGACTGTACAGTTTTAGTTTCCATTTATTTAAAGAAGGACATAAGTTGCATTGCAAGCAGCTCATTGTTCTGATTCGTGGAGCAAAGATTTGTCTTATGGGGAAATGTTGACCAAGTTGGGTGTTATACCCTTTTGGTGTTTAATACATTGAGAGTTGATCTTAGAACCATAGAGTATAGAAGAGGCCTTTGGTTCATCGTGTCTGTACCGCCAAAAGTCTACTACTACTTACAGAAGTCCCACTTGCCCGCACTAGGCCCATTGCCTGATTCTTTTGCTATTTATAACATCTTATTGAACAAAAAAAGGAACTGACAATGAGGGAACTTGTGGAACTACTAATTTCTGTAGGTCAGGGTCAGAGGTCTGGATTCGAGTCCTACCTGATCCAGAGGGGTGTCATAACATGTCCAAATGATTAAAAATCATTACATAGTGATAGGAAAATCCCATCATGTGAGATTCTGGAGGATCTAGGTTTCACAACAAATAGTCTTAAGTCTTTGTAACTCTGTTCTCCAGAGAGCAGTGGAAACTCAGTCATGGTCCAACTCCGCTTTAAAGATATTCAGTTTTGGATCTGCCAGTGAAATGAGGGTTACGGGAGGCAGTGGAGTTCAGGCTGCAGTTTAATCAGGCATGGAGTTGGCTCAAGAGACCCAATTGCCTATCCCTGCGTCTCAAACTGACGAAATTATCTGATTTGAGCTTTTAGGTTACCTTGAAGTTGTATGCTGATCAACTCTTGCACTTAAAAGCATTTAGTCTTGCAAATGTGACATTTGTCAATGTACAGCATTGATAATGTTTCACATTTCCAATTCCCACCCTAATCGTCTCTTCACCCTGGAGGCCCAAATGCTCTGCACATTTGTCCTACTTTAGGGCAGCCTGAGGGCTCTTATTTTTCTAATCAACCTGTTCAGAGATGTTATTGCACATCCCTGGAATAGATGGGACTTGAACACAGGCCTCCTGGCTCAAAGGCAGGATTACAACCACTGCACCACGGGAACTTTTCAGTTCTTTCTTTCATGGTTCCAGTTTCCTGGTTGACCTTGGTCTCCCAATGAACATTTTCTCATTTAATTTATTGCATTTCCTCAACTAAAAGGTGTGTAACTATGCATCTATTTTGGAAACCGAAAGAACTGCGGGTGCTATAAATCGGAGACAAAAATAGAAATTGCTGGAAAAGCTTAGCAGGACTGGCAACATCTGTGGAGAGAAATCAGAGTTAATGGACAAGAACCTGTAACAAGGATGATATTAGCAAGCTGAAGGTCTCAATAATTTAGTAGCATCTGATTCTGCATCATTCAGAAATGTGTATTCCTATTTTTAATTGCAGAACTTGGTGTTCTTCCAGTATTTTGTTTTATGAATTTGAAATGCCAGGGATTGTTTGGTTTAAGCATGTACTGCCAGTGAGCTTTGTTCAGCAGATGTTTATATTAGATTCAGTTCTGCATTTTAGATGGCATATGGTGATATATTCTGTTGTTAAATCACATGAAATACTTTGCAGTAACATGATTTGCTTTTGGAACATCTTTCTTGATTTTCAGAAAATGAAGAGCTAAGTTCTGTTCTCAAAAAAGTACAGAATTAATTTGTTTACCTTTTTAACTTTTCTAACTGTCATTAAATCGTGGATTTGTGGAAAGAATTTTGCCAATTGAAATTGAGTTGTTGTACCAATAATTAGGGTCTCCTATTTTTTTCTATTCTCTCCCTCACTCAAAAGCAAGTGCAAAAGTTGATTCTATTCATGCACATTAAGTCTAATTTGGGAGCAAAAGTGGTTAACAAGAATAAAAAGCAAATCCTGCCTTGCTGATGAGGAATTGTTGGTGAGATTAAAGGAATGCTTAATTCCAGACAAGATGTTAGAATAAACGAGACTCCTCAAATTTGTGATATTTCAGGAACTGTTTAGGAAAGTCAGATTTTACTCCACCTGAGCTATGGCTGTTTCTTAGACTAACATCAATTGCCTTAAAATCAATTTGTATCTGATTTTCAGTAACTTAAGTTCCATGTATTAAATCAGAACTTCCTGAAGTTGGATGGGACCTAATGGGGTCTCTAGCTCTGAGGCAACAACAGCAGCTCGGAAACTCTACTTTAGTTTTAATAAATGCGCTTCCCCAGCTTTAGCAAAAGCAGGCCATTCTCTTCTAATCTTACCTGCACCTCACCATATTCTCAGTTCTTACTGTGGGGTCACAACAATTTTGAAGTCTCAAAATGGGGTCTCAATGGGAAAATGTTTTAGATTCATGTTTAGATTCTGTATATTAGATGTGCTGTGTTCTGTATCTGTTAATGCTAAGTGAATTGTCATGCTGAAACAAAAATTCTTCCACTGTTTTTATCTGAGCATGATTGAAACTTAGTATCCAAGGTTCACAACTGGTAATTTTATTAAGGTGGAAGAATATGTAGTAACTGAAATGGGATACTTCAGTGTTTTTATTTTTGAGTACAGTTTCAAATCTAGGTCAATCCAATATTATGACCGTTAATAAAGTGATTAAATCTTTAGAATTTTGCCTGGTTGGCACAACTCACTTCCTATGAGAGATCTAATTACTTTTTTCCTTCCTCCACAGCAACATCAAACCCAGTCCCATCAAGGCCTCCACTGCTGACCATTTTGCTTTATTCACTGGTACCCATCATGGGATTTGCTGTAGTTGTGTTGTTCTCCTTCTGGATGTATAGGCATCACAAATTGGCATATCCGCCAGTACTTGTACCAACTCAGGTATAGCTCAAAATCTTTTTGTCAATTCATCTTTGTTTACTCTAATACATAAAAGTAAATATGAAAATGCATTTCAAGTGTATGTAAAGAGTAGTTTTGCAGACTAATGAGTCTAGCCTTCATTTTTGCCTGTTCAGAGCACTTATTCGTAATTCTGATATGGCGCACCATCTGTTAACAAACAAAATTTTTTGCATGCTAAACTTGGCATTCAGGTTAATGACAAGACCTACCATTAAGTAGAGCTCTGCACTTTAGTAAAGGTCTTGAAATCATGTAGCTTCACTAATCTGTTGCTTTATAGACCTTTCTGCTCTAAATATTTCATGGTTTTAACAAGATTTGAAGGTTATAGAGAAAATGGTACCAAGGTAAGAACTTAACAAAGAGATCAGCCATGGTCATATTGCATGGAGAACAAACTCAAAAGACACATTTGGCCCATTCCTGTTCTTGCATTACCTTGAGTGTATTCAGATAGTTAATGGTTTATTGTGAATTTGAATTCATTAATTACCATTCACCCATGGCCTGGGATGGTTATGGCAGGGCCCAGTAACTGGGGCCTGGAGCACTGGCAGATCACTGTAGAGCCATAGTCATAGAGCTGTACAACATGAAAGCAGACCCTTTGATCCAACTTGGCCATGCTGATCAGATATCTTAAATTAATCTAGTCCCATTTGGCCCAAATCCCTCTAAACCCTTCCTATTCATATACCCATCCAGATGCCTTTTAGATGTTATAATTGTACCAGCCTCCTCCATTTCCTCTGGCAGCTCATTTCCATACACGCACCACCCTTTCCATGAAAAAGCTGCCCCTAAGATCCTTTTTAAATCTTTCCCCTCTCACCTTAAACCTATGTCCTCTAGTTTTGGACTCTCCCACCCTGGGAAAAACACCTTGTCTATTCACACTATCCATGTCCCTCATGATTTTATAAACCCCTGTAAGGTCGCTCGTCAGCTTCCGACACGCCAGGGTAAATAGCTCCAGTCTACTCAGCTTCTCCCTGTAGCTCAAACCCTCCAACCCTGGCAACATCTTTGTAAGTCTTTTCTGAACCTTTCAAGTTGCACTTTAGATCATTTGGGACTTAGAGCCTTGATCAGGAGCAACACTACAGCATGTGATCTTTGTCCCTATTCCTGTATTCAACATAATTTTGCGACCAACTTCAAAAGAACCGACTTATGAATGAATTAAACTTTGCTATTATTCATTGTCCCTTTTTCATCTTGAGTAGAATCAACATAACTTGGGAAACACAAGCTAGATGCCACATGGGCACATTTGGTGTGTGCATACTGAGCGTCTGCAATCTTAACTTTGCCTAACTTGCTCAGCCTTATTCTTTTAGCTGTACTTACTCTTCTAGTACAGTGAGGTGCCTGCTATAGAATATGCAAGTCTCCGAAGCACAAAGGGATGCAGGGGTCACTGCAGCCTGTAAACCAGGGCTTCTGTTTCAAGTTTGAGATCCTGATTCTAAAATAATTATTTCCTCAGTCAGCTAAAAGCAGAGCTGATGCATTTGAGGCAATGATGAACTTTTTCATCCAGACTGCCTTCATTGAGAGGAAGCTACTCTTAGTGGTCCAAATTTTCCAGAATCTAGTTGTTAATCTAATTTGATAGCGCAAGATGTGCTGTAGGTGCTGGTTGGATGAGGTTTTCCATGGGTTTTATGAGAGGCACACTTTCTCATTTGCTTCGGGGAGAAGTTGACAATGATCTGAATTCTATTCCTGAGTGAGTACTCCTACAAGCATCATCTACATACTGAAGGTCTTGTGAAGACACCACTGGTCAGTGGCTAGAAAGGCATTCTCCCAAGCCACTGCGCATAGCACTGAGGTGCTGATCACTCAAAGCCAGCTCTGCTAGGCAGGGCATGTTGTCTGCATGCCTGAGAAGGTACTCTGAGGGTAACTCAAAACTTGGTTGGGCAACAGACTCTCAAGCAGACAACAGAAATACTCCAGATTCACCATCAAAGCATCCTGAAGACATTTAACATCTCTGACTTATGGGAGGCTCTGGCTCCTGGCTGACACAAGTGGCATAAGATAATCCTAGAAAGTGGAAAACACATCAGGAGATTTTATTGGGAGCACCTGAGGTAAAGTCAAGGCATCAGAAAGAGTGAACACGAACGTCTTAACAGCTCATCTGCCCTCCCCACTAGGCATCACATGCCCCATGTGTGGCAGATTGCACAATGAACCTATCATCTATTTTAGAATCCACCGAACTGGATTAGAAGTGAGTCATCCTCCCCTTAGACAGTCCCTGGGATAAAGACATAATTGTACTACTTATGCTAGTACTCTCAGAACTAAAACTTTAGCTATAAATGAAAAGAAAATGCTGACTAATGCTGGAGTGAAAAATCTGAAATTAAAATATTTTAAGTGATGGAATAGCAAGTTTTTTTGACATTTCTTATTGTAATTGCTAATGTTTCAAATATAGATGCTTTGGCAAGACTGGCTGGCAATGTTGGAATTTTTAAATCATAGACTGGTGCATGTGTTTTTGCTACGTATCAAATTACCAGAACTTTGCCATTTTTGAGACTGTTACAATTAGTGTTATGAGTTTTTAGTGCCCTCTGCTGTTTGAAAATATAATTAGTTGATTTGACAATGTTGAGCTGTAGCTACTTCTGTGGTTGTAAAAATATAATTATTTCCTTCAGTTAGGTTTGTCATGAGATTTAGATTTGATTTTTTTTTAATGTTTTGACTTTGGGATATGTACATAAATTCTGTGCCAAATACTGTATTAATGTTAAATATATTATTATACAGTACCACAGCAATAGATCAGTGTAGTTTGTCTTGTATCATTAAGTTTTGTTCAAGAGAGGTATCACAACTCAAGCTATCTTTTTGACCAGTTTTTGTGCAGTAAGTAATTTATTATATGAATTCAAATTGCCAGTATGTCATCTTTCGGAGATTATGTTCTTGATTTAATCTGATTTTGATTTATTGTAGTTACATATACCTAAGTACAATGAAAAGTTTTTTGTTTTGCAAGCAGTACAGGCAAATCATAGCAAACAAGGACATACAGATTTAGTAGGAACTGCAGATGCTGGAGAATCCGAGACAACAAGGTGCAGGGCTGGATGAACACAGCAGGCCAAAAAGCCTCTCTGCTCCTATGATGCTGCTTGGCCTGCTGTGTTCATCCAG